ATTGGGATGCTTTTTATTTCTTTCTCTTGTCTTATTACCATAGAAAGCACTTGCAGTACAGTACTGAATAGAAGTGGTGACAATGGACATCCTTGTCTGCTTTCTGTTCACAGAGAAAATGCTCCATTGGGAATGATATTGGCTCTTGGTTTTACATATTTGCTTGTCATTATGTTGAGGAAATTCCCATCAATTCCAATTTTGCTGAGTGTCTTAATTAGGAATGGATGCTGGATTTTGTCAAGTGCCTTTTCTGCTTCAATTGCTAGAATCATATGGCTCTTATTTATTTGTTTTGTAATATGGTGAATTACATTGATTGTCTTTCTTATGTTGAATAATCCTTGTATGCATGTTATGAATCCCATTTGGTCATGATGAATTATTTTTCGATGTGCTTTTAATGTCTATTGGCTGTGACTTTGTTAAAGATTTTTGCATCTATATTCATGAGAGATATTGATCTGTAGTTTTCTTTCTTAGTAATATCTTTGCCTGGTTTTGGTATTAGGGTTATGCTTACTTCATAGATATCTCTGGGAGTATTCCTTCACTTCCTATATTTTGAAATAATGTAAGTAGAATTGTAGACTGTATAGTTTAAGTATTCTGTGTCTTTGTTAAGTTTCTTTTGAGTTGATCTATCCTTTCGTGAGAGTGGTGTTTTAAAGTCTCCTACCTCTATTGTGGTGCTATTTCTTCTTCAGTTCTATTAACAGTTATTTTTGATGTTTAGCTGGTCTGTCATCTGGTGCATAGATGTTGATTAATGTTATGTCTTCTTGATCTACTGTGCCTTTAATCATTATACAGTGCCCTTATCTTTTATGGTGATTTTCATTCTGAAGTCTATTTTTTCAGAGATTAGTATTGCCACTCCTGCTTTTTTGTGGATGCCTTTTGCCTGGTGTATATTTTTTCAGCCTTTGATTTTGCATCTTCGTCTTCTTCAGTTACTTTAGCTTAAGAAATGCTTAGCAAGTTTGGCCCTTTTGATTTTCTGACTCTAGCTACTTGTATATTTCAGTGAAATACTTTGTCTTCCCACGCTACCCTCTGGAATCTTCAGTTCAACTCCTTAATATCTTGATTTATTCCCATTGCTTTGGCTTCTCAGTGCTCCAGTGTAATGTTTATAGAGTTTCTTCTGAAATCCTTCTTGGTCTTTTCTTCCTTCTCTGTCTTTGTAATGACCTTTTGCATTCTTTCTGGATGATATTCTTGATATCCTCAACAGCTCATCTGGTCTTCGCTCATTAATGTGCAAGGCCTCAAACCTGTTCCCGAGATGGTTTTGAAAGTCAGGTGGGATAGACTCAAGGTCAAATTTGGTTCCTGTGGACTTGATTTATTTTTCCTCAGCTTCAGCTTAAACTTGTATATGAGTAGTTGATGGTCTGTTCCACAATCAGCACTTGGCCTTTTCACTTTTCACGGCTGATTTTGAGCTTCTCCAGTGATTCTGGAAATGTAATCATTCTGATTCCTATGCATACCATCAGGTAAAATTCATGTGTCTAGCCTGCATTTATGTTTCTTATAAAATGTATTTGCAATGAATAAGTCATTGATTGTGCAAAATTTTATCATCCTATCTCTGACTTCATTTCTGTCACCAAGTCCATGTATTCCGACTGCTGATCCTTTTTCTCTATTCACAAATTTTGCATTCCAGTAACTCATTAATGCAGCTTGATTGCATGTGCTATCAGTTTCTGAATGCAAAAGTTGGTAGAAATCTTCTATTTCCTCCTCTTTGGCTCTGATTGTTGGTGCATATATTTGAATGATGGTGGTATTCACTAGACTTCCTTGTATGCATATAGATATTATTCTGTCACAATATTGTATTTCAAGATGGATCTAGAAATGACTTAACTATGAAAGCAACCCCATTCTTCCTCATCTTTTCATCTCCAGCATAGTAGATCATATGATTGTTTGACTCAAAATGTCCCTGCCAGCCCATCTCATTTTGCCAATATCTACTATGTCAGTATTTATGCATTCCATTTATTTCTTAATAATACCCAATTTTCCTACATTCATAGTTCTTACATTCCATGTTCCAATCACTAGTGTTTGCTTATAGCTGTTTCTCCTCCTGTGTTTCTATATTTGAGGGCTCAGACTCAATTGCTATATCTGCTAGTCTAAGTGTGCTCTGTTGTATATAGAGTTTTCGAAGGCCTGCTATTTTAGAAGTGAATGGTCAATTCTTCTTCCTAGTCTGTCTTAATTTGATTGCTCAGATTTAGCACATTATCTGACAGATAAGCATTTTACAGAGAAGAGAAGATTAAAGATATTTCCCAGTACTTCATTTATTAAATGTGTCTCTTTTAGACAACAAATTGATGGACTTTGGGTTTTTTTCCATTCTTCATTTTCCCCATTTTTCTCTTGATTGGTGCATGAAGTCCCTTCACATTAAGCGTGATTATTGACAGGCCAGCTTATCATAACCATTTTCTGTGTTTCTTTTTTTGTTTCTTGTTACTATGGTCCATCCACTTTCCTTTGGTGTCTCTATATGAATAACTTCCCTTGAAAGTTCTTGTAGCTTTGATCTTTTGTCACAAATTCCTTAAGTTCTTTCTTTTCTGCAAAGGATGTGATTTCTCCTTCATATTTGCTGGAGAGCTTTACTGGGTACAGGATCCTGGGTTGGTAATTGTTTTCTTTCACCTTTTTGTATGCCATCTGATTATCTTCTTTCTCTCATGGTTTCTTCTGAAAAATCAGAACTTTATTTCATTTCTTTTCCTTTGTAGGTGACTATTTTCCCTGTGCTGTTTTTAGTATTCCATCCATATATTTTATTTTGGAGAATTTAATATATCTTGATGTTTTCCTTTTTTGATCCTTTTTTGAGCTTCCTGAATTAGGATTTCCTCGTTCTTTATAATTTTCTCAATGATATCTCTATTCCTCTTATATTCTGATATTCCAATCACATGTATGCTAATCCTCTAGATGCTATCTCACATAAGTCTGTTATTTTCTTTATGTTTCATCTCTGATTTTTCTTCTAGAATGTTTCTGTTGAAGTTCTTTTTTTCCAGATCACTGACTCTTTGCTCCATCTTTTCTGGTCTACTTTTTTTTTGTTCGTCAAGCATGCTGGACACTTCTGTCATTTCAGTCTTAATGCTCTGGATTGCATTTTCATGCCTTTCTTATTTCTACTGTTGTGTTGGTAGTACTCTATCTTGTGATGATTTTTTAAGTTCTTGTACCTCTTTATCTATAGTTTCAATTCAGTATTTTTTTTCTTTCATTTTCTTCTGTATTTGTGCAAGTTCCTCCTCATCAATATGTTTCTTCTGAATCCATATCTCTGGAGCATTTGCTCTCTTGTTGGTTTCCATTGTTTCTTCCATCACTTACACCTTCTTCTGTAGTTGTTCAAATAATTCATCAGTATATTTTTTTCTTGTTCTCTACCTCTAGGTTATTCCCTTTATTTGTGGCTTCTATTGTTTTTATCAGCATTTGTACTTTCCTTCGTAGTTGATTGGAGGTCTTCATATCAACATATATCATCTGCCTCCTTGACTCTGGGATATTCATGAAGTCTCGGGTATTCTCAGCTTTTTTTTGAAAAGGCTTAATTTGTTTTTTGATGGCTTTGAAGCTGCCTGTTGCTTTCTTGACATTATGTGAAGTTTTTCTTGATAAGTGTTACATCATTTCTATTGTGTCTGTGAAACTTGTTGGTGGTTCTTGTCTTTATAATATTACTAATTGGTTGCCAAGTTAAAATGTGGTGAACTGCTCACTCCACTATAAGTCCTTTTGGGGAAAATTTCCTTTCCTAAAATCCTTGAGGTCCTCTCTATTCTGCACTGCAGCCCTGTAGGAATCTTGCCTTGAAGTAGTCCCCTGACACCAACTCTAAAGGTCTCCTTCATGTATGAAGTGGCTGAGTGGTGTGAGGCCATGTGCTCTACTCAAGCAGTTTCTCATGCATCTTTTCTCCTGGAGCTTAATGTCTTCCTTTATCTCTGAAGTGGCACTAGGTTAGAGATTACAGCTGCCAGCTCAAGCAGCTTGCATGCAGTGGGTCTCAAGTTAGCTCTCTCTCTCTACAAGAGCTACAAATATTTTTTTCCCTCTGAATGAAGTTCTTTATACCAAAGTCCCTTGTCCTGTTTGGCCCCTGGGATGGTCTGACAGCCACAAAGATAAGCACCCCCAAACGGAGGGTCCTCTAACCCCAGGGATACTTCAGTCCTGTCTCCCCACAAACAATGGAGAGTACTTGCTTTTGGCACAGAACCTTACCTTCCCTTACCTTTTCCATGCAGCTTTGTGTCCTCCTAGGATTTGTTTTTTACTCTCTAAAACAATTAATACTTTTTATTCATTTATTTATTCATCTAAAATATTTATTGAGGGCTATTTTGTGTGATCTCCTTATATAAAAATTTAGAGCTTTGGAAGCCATAAGAGTCAGTTTCACTTTGTCTTATAGGGTCACTGTAAGTCAGGGTCAACTTGGCAGCAATGGGTATTTTGTGGCAGGCAGAATTTTGTGCCATTCTTGTTGTTTTAATGTGTTATCAATTTGCCTATTACTTGTAGCAACCCTATGCACAATAGCTCTGAACTCTACCCTAACCTGAGCCAGTCTCACTCCAAACTATGTAAGACAGGACTTCAAAACCTTTGCCTTTAAGGAACAACTTGGTTTCACCTTCTCTGTTCTCTTGGCAGTGCATGGCATGTTCATTACTCTTCTCTGTCTTATGATGAACAAAACATGATACTCATGATATATGGAGTTTAGCTTAGTAAAAGGGACAAAATGCAATAAAAACTGTAAATAAGATAACCTCACTTTGTTATAATGGAAATAGAGTAATTTGAAGTAGTGAGTATACTAGGTGAAGTGATTAACATGTGGTTTTATAGTTCATTAAATTCTACTAAAAAAAAAAAGAAAACCATATGGTGGTTCAAGTAATATCTGACCAATGCTTTCTTTATTTTTAAAGGTGAAGTCCCCTCTACCATCCAGTTGCCCACACCTTCAGTTCAGCGCCCAAGCCCCATCACACTTTTCCAGCCCAGCGTCTCCAGCACTGCGCAGGTGGCTGTCCAGACTTCAAGTCTGCCCATCCGTCCAGCACTTCCACAGCAGCATTTTGCGGGGTCCTCCCAAATGGACACTCATCAGCTGCAGTCTGGAGCCAGTCATTCTGTGAAGAGACCTACCCCTGTCTCACTGGAGAGCACCAACAAGATTCCAACTAGTGCAAGTACTGTACATGTGAGATTTGCAACCTCGACGATCCAACCTCCCAAGGAGTATCCTAGTGTTTCCACCTGCTCCAGAAGTGCTCCGATCCCCCAGCCTCCTCCCATCCCACACTCACATATCTACCAACCGCCTCCCCTGGGTCATCCGGCCACCCTGTTTGGGACACCATCTCGATTCTCTTTTCATCACCCCTACTTCTTACCTGGACCTCACTACTTCCCATCAAGGTAAGTAAAAAAAAAAATCCATTTTCCTTTCATCTATAAATGCAAGGATGAATTTTCATCTCTTTAAACTACCTTTTTGTTTTATTGAGAAGAGGACTTTTCCATAAACTTTAGATAAGAGACTAAATAGGAGCTAAGCAGTTAACTTAAATGAAAACAGATGAGAACTGTGAGGAACTAAAGAGAATTCTTGCCCCATCTAATGAGTAGTGACTCCTATTCAGCTCCAACTATTGCTATAGGAGAATACAAGCTCAAGTGGCAGATCTGGTTGGGTGTGTTTGGTTTTTTTAATAAGAAACTATTGTAAGGAATTTTAACAACATTCAAATCCTTTTGTTATACGGAACTGTGTTCTCAAGCTTTAGTGTGCACATGAATCACCTAAAATCTTGATAGAATGCAAATTTTTATTAACTTGATATATTACAGTGAATATTAAAAATCATTGCCATGAAGTTAAAACTGAATCATTGCTGACCCTGTACACTGTAAACTACATGAAAGGAGATTGGTCCTTCTATCCATCCAGAGCTGCTAGCAGATTCAGACCACCAGAGAGGTACCTCTTCTGGGGTAGCAACACAACTCTGATGGAGTACACCATCAGAGCTTCCAAACAGGGACTATAGTTGTTATGTGCTGTCAAGTTGCAGTTGATTCATAGATGACCCTTAAGAAGGTCCTAGATTTGAGTTGTATGCCTTTGAGTTGACAGGGCAGTTCCTTACAACTAGACCACCAGAACTCCTCAGGGAGTATAATAGAACTGGTAACAAGCTTCCAAGTGATGCAAATTCTGCTAGTTTGTGAATCACACTTTGAAACAAAGGTTACAGAGAAGGACACTTTCTCTAAAAAAAGGTTATACAACTTGTCCAAATCTCTCTTGGTAACTTTTTTTCCAGATGAGAAGTTCTCCCATATAAATTATCAATAAGAAATTTATTTTCAAAAGGAAGTATCTAGTGAAAGCAAATTTGCTGCTTCTCATTTTAACAGGATATCATTTAATGTAAACATATTCTGATAGAGTGTCATTGATCTCAACTTTTCAATTGCTTTTAAATATGTAAGGCCCTTGGAGGTACTGGGAATTAGTTTGCTAATTGAAAACTTGGTGGTTTGAATCTACAAGTTGCTCCACTAGCGAACAAGAAGGTAGTTTGCGTCAGCAAAAATTTACAGGCTTGGAAACTCTACTAAGTAATTCCACTCTATCCTATAGGGCTTCTGTGTATTGGAATTGGTTTGATGGCAGTAAATTAAATAGTAGAGAGAAATGGTTAATCACTGCTAAAATTAAAATTGTTGTTGTTATGTGCCATCGAGTCGCTTGTGACTCATACCAACCCTATGTACAACAGCCCTAAACTGTGCTCTTTCCCTTGCCAAACTTGCTGTCTCTGATACGCCTATCCACATTATACCAGTTATGGAATAAATCCATTTCATTGAGGATCTTCCTCTCCTGTGTGGTCCCTCCACCCTCCAAGCATGATGTCTCTCCCAAAGGACTGGTACCTCCTTCAACATGTTCAAAGTATGTCAGATGAAGCCTCAGAATCCTTGCCTCCAAGGAGTAGCCTGGTTTAACCCTCTCCAGGACAAACTTGTTTGTTCTCCTAGCAGTCCATGATATATTCAGTACTCTTCTCCAGCACCAAAACTCAAAGGCATCAACTCTCCTCCTATCATCCCTAGTCATTGTCCAACTTTCTGATGCATAGCAAGTAATGGTAAAGGCCATGGTTTGTATCTGGCTCACCATAGTCTCCAGACTGACATTGCTTGGAGAGGTCTCTGACAGCAGACTTTCCCAGTGCAATTTGTCTTTTAATTTCCTGGATGCTGGTACCAGAAGTGTTGATTGTAGAGGCAAGAAAACGGAAACTGTCAACAATCTCAATCTCTTCATCATCTATCATGGTACTACCGATTGGCCCAGTGGTGATAATCCTTGTTTTCTTGACGTTGAGCTTCAATCCATATTGAAGGCTGCAGTCCTTGACCTTCTGCAGCAAGCACTTCAGGTCCTCCTCAGTTTCAGCAAACATGGTTGTATCATCTGCATAACACAGACTGCTGTTGAGTCTACCTCCAATCTTGATGCCACTCTTCTTCTCATAAAGTCAAGCCTCCTGAATAATCAGTTCTGCATGTAGATTGAAAAGATATGTAGATAGGACACATCCTTGACACAAATCCTTCCCAATGTTGAACCATGCAGTAATATTACATGCAAGCAAGATTCTGCTGAAAATTATCCAGAAATGACTGAAACAGCACATCAACAGAGAACCACCAGAAGTGCAGGCTGGGTTTAGAAGAGGCCATGGTAGTGGGGATATTACAGGCAATGTCAGGTGAATCTTGGCTGAAAGCAGAGAGTACCAGGGGAATGTCTATCTGTGCTTCATTGACTGTGCAAAGGCACTTGACTGTGTGGATCACAACAAATTGTAGCTAACTCTGAGAAGAATGGGAATCCCAGAACACTTGATCATGCTTATGTGAAACCAATACTTGGACTAGGAGGCAGTTATCAGGACAGAGCAAGGAAACACTGCATGGTTCAAAATTGGGAAAGGTGTAGTACACCAAAGTGTGTCCTATCTCCATACCTTTTCAATGTATATGCAGAACAGATTATCTGAGAGGCTGGGCTCTATGAGGAGACATATGACATCAGGATTGGAGGTAGACTCATCAACAATCTGCATTATGCAGATGACACAACTCTGCTTTCTGAAATTGAGGAGGACCTGAAGTACTTGCTTCAGAAGGTGAAGGACTGTAGCCTTCAATATCGATTGAAGTTCAACATCAAGAAAACACAGATTCTCACCACTGGGCCGGATGGTAACATCATGATGTATGGTGAAGATATTGAGTTTGTACACAGCTTTAGTTTGCTTGTCTCTACAGTCAATACTCTTGGTACCAGCAGCCAGGAAATTTAAAGACATACTGTACGGAGAAAGTCTGCTGTCATGACTTCTTCAGAGTACTGAAGAACGATGATGTCAGTCTGGAGACTAAAGTGTGCCTGATATAAGCCATGATCGTTGCAATCACTTGCTATGTGTCAGAGAGCAGGACAATGACTAGGACTGATAGAAGGAGAATTGATGCCTTTGAGATGTGGTGTTGGAGAAGAGTACTCAATATACCATAGACTGCTAAGAGAATGAACAGGTTTGTCCTGGAGAGGGTTAAACCAGGCTGACCTTTGGAGGCAAGGATTCTGAAGCTTTGTCTGACATCCTTTGAACATGTTGCAAGGAGGGAGCTGTCCTTGGATAGGGACATCATGCTTGGAAGGGTGGAGTGACAGAGCAAGAGAAGAAGACCCTTGATGAGATGAATTGCTTCAGTGACTGGGGTAATGGGCGTAGGTGTGTCAGGCACAATAAGATTGTCACAGAATATAGCAGGGTTCAGGGCTGTTGTACATAGGGCCATTATGAGTTGCAGGTGACTCAACAGTACATAACAACAACAACATAATCATCAGGAAGAGGCAGTTTCTCAAAAAGGACATGATGTTTGAAAAAGGAAAGGGTCAGCAAAAAAGAGGAAAACTCTTTAATGATATTAATTGACACAATGGTTAGTACAAGTAAGTGGATAAATCTGAGCTCTCATACATTGATAGCAGGAATGATGCAATCACTCAGAAAAATTTGGCCTTTTCTGAAAACGTTAATTGTATATTACCATATGACCCACAAATTCCAAACTCTATCTTAAGTCGTGTCATCTGCATAACGCAGATTGTTGATAGATCTTCCACCAATCCTGACGCCACACTTCTCCTCAGAGCCCAGCCTCCCGGATAATCTGCTCTGCATATAGGTTGAAAAGGTATGGAGATAGGACACATGCCTGGCATACACCCTTCTCAATTTTGAATCCAATTCAGTGTTTTCTTGCTCTGTTCTGACAACTGCCTCTTGGTCCAAGTATAGGTTTTTTATTAGAACTATCAAGTGTTCTGGGATTCCCATTCTTCTCAGAGTTAGCCACATTTTGTTATGATCCACACAGTCAAACACCTTTGCATCAATGAAACACACATAGACATTCCTC